GTTGCTGCTCGACGCCAACCAGCTGCGCGAACTACCCAAGGTGAGCAGCTGCTGCACCTGCCGCCCGGTGCCCGCTTCCGAGCTTTCGGCGAGGTCTGCTCCGGCGGGACACCGACCCTGCAGCGGGCCTTGCTGGTTCGCCCCAGCCAGCCCCACCCTACGCAGGCACCAGGTGGCAGCGGTCTTCACGTACTTTCCTGGGGATTGAGCGGACAGTCCAGAAAAGCAACAGAAGAGTGGAAAGCATTGGGGCCCGCGAGGTGGATGGGTCAGGGGTGGGTCTGCTGTGGTGATGGATACCCTGCTGGGCTGCTCTGGAGGTGGGGGTCTGGACTTATCACTGCCCTGGCTCCTTTCCGTCCTGTGTGCCGGGCTGCCTCCCTAACATGTCCAGCACAGAATCTCTGCTCTAATCTGTGAAGAAGCCACTTCTTATTGCCCGTGTTTTTTCCGGTCAGTTTGTTTTTCTTCTAAGGCCATTCCACAAAGGAGGCCAAAGGAAACAGGTTATATTAGATTTTCTCTTCAGAAAGGGGATTGAGTGACCTTATGTTTGGGGGCTGGGTTCTGTGGAGGGTGTGGCTCACTTCTGAGCCTGGCTGTGACAGTTCTTTTTTTTTTTTCCTGAAGACAGGGTCTCACTATGTAGTTCAGACTGCTCTGGAACTCACTGTGTAACCCAGGCTGGTCTTGGACTCTCAGTGATCCTCCTGCCTCAGCCTCTTGAGTTCTGGGATTACAGGCGTGTGCCACCACGCCAGGTGTGATAGTTCTGCCTTGTGGGCATCTGCAGGACCCGTGTGGATAACCTGTGTGGGTAGTCTCCTTGTAGGTTTGCACGTTTGTGGTGCTTTGCTGCATTTGTTACTGTTACTGTAATGGTTTTTGCCATGTTCTTTTTGCTCATTGCTAGGGTACAGTAACAGAATCCAGTGTGGCCCCTGAAAGGTTCATCTGTGGGTAGAAAAATCAGTTCAGGTGGCAGATGGAGTCCTGAAGGTGACATGTGGCTGGAGCTGCATCCATTCAGAGACAGGAGTAGAGAGTTGAATGTGATGATGGTGGGGTTTGTGCCAAGAATGTCCTTGCTCTTCTCAGAGCAAACTGGGGTGTTATGATTAGACGTCTGGACCCACTGTGTCCAGGAGCTTTTTGCTACCATCAGAGTGTCTCACTGCACAACCCATCCCACATGACCTTACCTCCCACCCACAGCCCTTCTTTCGGCTGCTGAACCTACGCAAGCTGGGCCTCAGCGACAACGAGATCCAGCGGTTACCACCCGAAGTGGCCAACTTCATGCAGCTGGTGGAGCTGGATGTGTCCCGGAATGGTGGGCAGGCCAGGGGTTGGCTGGGGTCACCCAGGAGCTCCTAGAAGCTGTGGGCATCTATCGATGGTGACTCTCCCTCACAGATATCCCTGAGATACCTGAAAGTATCAAGTTCTGTAAAGCTTTGGAGATTGCGGATTTCAGTGGGAACCCCCTGTCCAGGTGGGTGGCATCTTTCCATGGGGGATCACCCACAGCCCTGCCCACCTGCTCTTGGCATCTGAGGTCCTCTGTTTCTTCCCCCAGGCTCCCTGATGGCTTCACACAGCTGCGCAGCCTGGCCCACCTGGCCCTCAATGACGTGTCTTTGCAGGCACTGCCTGGGGATGTGGGCAAGTGAGTACCTGTGTGGTGAAAGGGTCTGGGGGACAATTCAATTCAGCCCTGTCTTCCTCAGCCTCAGCCCCTGGTCTTTCTTTTAGCCTGGCCAACCTGGTGACCTTGGAGCTCCGAGAGAACCTGCTCAAGTCTCTCCCTTCGTGAGTACTCTGGGCCTCCACCCTACTGGGTGGAGCTTTACAGGGACCTGGTCCTGTGGCCCCATACCAACTGTTTTTTTCTACAGGTCCTTGTCTTTCCTGGTCAAGCTGGAACAGCTGGATCTGGGAGGCAATGATCTGGAAGTGCTGGTGCGGTGGGAGCCTTTGGGGGAAGGGCATGTATGGTATAGGAGCCACCCCTTCAGGTGAAAGCAGGGATTCTCCACAGTCATTCTGGTTTCTCTTGTCCCTGCTCTCTGTTGTAGCCTGATACTCTGGGAGCTCTGCCCAACCTTCGGGAGCTGTGGCTCGACCGGAACCAACTGTCAGCATTGCCCCCGGTGAGTGAAGATGAGACCAGGCTCTCACGTCTGGCTGCTGCTCTCTGACATTCTGCCTTTCCTCAGGAGCTTGGGAACCTGCGGCGGCTGGTGTGCCTAGATGTGTCAGAGAATCGACTGGAAGAACTTCCTGTGGAGCTAGGTGGGCTGGTGCTGCTCACAGACCTGCTACTTTCCCAGAACTTGTTGCAGCGGCTACCTGATGGCATTGGTGAGTGTATTCTGGGGGCCTCACTTCTTTGTGCTGTCAGGCAAGGTGCTAGGCAGCATCTTAGGTGAGGCCCCAAACTACCCAGGCTGGAGGCATTCTGAGGGGAGGGTACGCTGAGGCTCCACTGAGGTACTGGGTAGGCTAGGTTACAGCCCACAGAGCCAGGGCAGCTTGAGTAGAGTGGTAAGGATGGGATGGCAAAAGGGATGGATGGCCAGAGCCATGGGTGCTTGATATTTTTTTCAAAGAACATCAAGTAGGTGGAGTCAGTTCAGTGGGAAATGGGGAAGAACAAGTGTCTACATTAGTTTGGGTTCTGGAAGCCCTTAGTACCCGTGGAGATGGCAGGGGTGTGGGTGGGGGCAGGTTCTGTGGGCCTTTCTCTGTTGTGTGGGTGGTTTGGACGCACTGTTTCATCCTGGGCCTGAGAGCCTAGTTGCTGTGTCTTCCTGGCACCAGGTCAGCTGAAGCAGCTGTCTATCCTGAAGGTGGACCAGAACCGGTTGTGTGAGGTGACAGAAGCCATTGGGGACTGTGAGAACCTCTCTGAACTGATTCTCACGGAGAACTTGCTAACGGTAGGGCAGCTCTGGGGTGCCAGGCTCTATCTCAGCTTTTATAGGGAGTTAATTTCAGAGTTACTTTGAGATAAAAGATTGGGATTGCAGAGCATGCAGTGGGGTAGGGTGCCAGCATGTAGCAGAGCGTGAAGCCTGCTGGTAGCGGTACGTGTTGCATACTAGCAGGTGCTAGTGGTGGCTTGGCCCTGGGGACTACTGTGGAGGGACACCCTTTGGCCCAGGATAAGGCAAGGAAGAGGTCTTCAGTTCAGGGCAGGGACTTGCTAGTGGGAATAAAGCATTTAGGGTATTCTTCCTGGTCTGTGGTATAGCACTGGGGAAAGACTGGAGGGAAGGCAGGGGCGGAAAGCAAACTGCCTTTCGAGCACATCTGCCCTGGGCAGAGCTGAAAGAGCAGAGCTGTAGGGTTAGGGTTAGGCATGGCCATGGTGATGCTGCTCTTCAGACTGAGGAGAAACATTTTGCCTATGGATGGGATGTCTATAGGATTGCCTCTTTGTGAGATGCCGCATCACAGCAAGAGAGAAAAGGGAGCCTTGGTCACAAAGGGCAGCTGGGGTATCAGACAGGCCATAGGCACACAGCTGGAGGAAATCAGGAATAGGCGTACCTGTAGGAAAGGGCCAGGTGTGTTGTAGTTGAAGGTCTGGGATGGCCCAACAGACTGTTTGGTGACTCTAGGTGAAGAAGGGTACAAAACAGAGTATTAATTGGTCTCACGTTCAGATCCCTGATCGTGGTCCCCAGCACTGGAAAGAGCTAGCCACGGTTTTCACCACATTTTACCTGCCCAAAAGGCATTCCTCTTTCTTTTCCTAACTTTAAGGGGCTCTGCCACCCGCCCTCTGACCTCTTTTCTCCTTGCCAGGCCCTGCCACGGTCTCTAGGAAAGTTGACCAAGCTTACCAACCTCAATGTAGACCGGAATCACCTTGAGGTGCTGCCACCTGAGATCGGAGGCTGTGTGGCACTCAGTGTTCTTTCCTTGAGAGACAACCGCCTGGCCATGCTGCCTCCTGAACTGGCCCACACAGCCGAGCTGCACGTGCTTGATGTGGCTGGAAACCGGTGAGTGCTTGCCTGGTCCCCGCGGACCTGACTGCATTCTGACACAGGATAACCGTGTCTTCCTGGTCCCCAGGCTGCGGAGTTTGCCATTTGCACTCACCCACCTCAACCTCAAGGCTCTGTGGTTGGCCGAGAACCAGGCTCAGCCCATGCTCCGCTTCCAGACTGAGGACGATGCCCAGACTGGCGAGAAGGTGCTCACCTGCTACCTGCTGCCTCAGCAGCCCCTGCCCAGCCTCGGTAGGTTGCTAGTGATTATGTCTTTGATGGAGTAGATGTGGCCTGAGGTGAGGTGAAGTGAGGAGTCAGGCCTGGGCCTCTGACACTTGCTTCCTGCAGAGGATCCTGGGCAGCATGGGAGCCCCTCAGAGACCTGGAGTGATGCCCCGCTGAGCCGTGTCAGTGTGATCCAGTTCCTGGAGGCTCCTGAAGGCGATGAGGACACTGAGGAGGCTGCTGCTGAGAAGCGGGTATGGGAGGGTGGGGACCCTGGGAGGTGCACCTCTGCCCCACCCCTGCCTGACCACGACCTCTGCCTCTGTCCCTCATCCCTGTCCCCCTCCAGGGCCTGCAGCGTCGAGCAACTCCTCACCCCAGTGAGCTCAAGGTGATGAAGAGAGGCATTGAAGAGCGCCGGAGCGAGGCCTATTCCTGCAAGCCCGACCTCAGACTCCCCTCGCCCACTGAGGAGGTATGTGGAGCCCTAGATGTCCTGGGCATGCTGGGTGTGGGCTCACTGTGCGGGGAAGGGGATGGGATAAGCTAAAGAGGATCTGGGGCAGGCAGGCAGGTATTCTGGTGGCACAGGGGATGGAGATCTGGCTTGGGGGCAGGCCTCTGGAGAGCTGTGTGACTTGTACCATTAGCACACGGGCAGGAGTTTGGTGCTGGATCAGCACAGGCTGGCTACTCACTTTAAGCTTCCAGCATCAGAACTGGGAAACGTTTTTGTGCCTCAGGGTGCAGCAGGATTAGTGATGGGGAGAGTGATGCTAGACATGTATCCACATCAGGCAGGCTTCCTGGGACTCATACCGTCCTTGTTTTGCTTTAGGGGAAAGGTTTTCCCAGAGGCCAGTTGCAGAATCACAGCTTTATATGCCCATAATTGTAGAGACAGTGGGCTTCCCTGGGCATCTGGGGGTGTGCTATGGTCACAACAGCAGAGGCCTTCAGTGTGGGGACATTCCTGGTAGGCAGCCTGCAGGTGGCAAGCTCCTGCACAACCTGATATTATTGCCTGCTACAGGAGAAGAGACTGAGCACAGAGTCTGGCTTGAGTGAAGGCTCTGCCCCATCGGCCGACACAGCCTCTGAGGGTGAACCAGAGGCTAAGCAGCAGGAAGCTACACCACATGGCCAGGAAGAGGATGTGGAGGAGGACTATGATGAGGTGAGGCCAGGGACCAGCAGGGCCTGTGAGGTGGAGGCTGCTTGCCCTTTGTGGATGGTTCCTGGGCTGTGCCAGATCACAGCTGGGCAAGGTTGAGACATAAATGGGCTTCCCCTGTACAGAGTTTGCCCCAGAAACAGCAACAGACTGGTAGTCTTATGGGTAAGGGCCACGCTGAAGAGGGGCTGCCTTTGGCTGGTGTGAGGGTCCTTACAGAACTCTTTAGTCAGGCGTTATATTTGTCATCTACTTGCTGACCACTTGCTGGCCTTTATATATTCCCTGTATTTCCATCTGGGGTACGCATATTTCTGAAAAACTCCTCTGGACCCAGGTTTAATCAGTACTGAGTTGCTACATCATGGTGCTCCCCACCACACTGCAGGCAGCTCTCCCAAATCCACGCCCCTGGCCTAGCCCTGATACCTGCCTTTTGCTGCAGGGCTTCCCTATGAACCCCACCAACAGAGCCCAGCTCCCTAGAAGGCAGGGGTGTCAGAGCCTGGCTGCACCCTCATTCTTAGACCTTCACAGCCCACAGTGCACTTTGCAGAGGACACACTGTTGCCCAGGGAAGACATCGAGAGTGAGGAGGGGCAGCTTGAGGCCCCCTGGCCCCTGCCAGGAGGCAGGCAGCGGCTTATCCGCAAGGACACACCCCACTACAAGAAGCACTTCAAGATCTCCAAGCTTCCGCAGCCTGAGGCTGTTGCAGCCCTGCTGCAGGGGATACAGCCAGCTGGGGAAGACCCTGCAGGGCCAGCAGGCTGGCACAATGGCCCCCACACACCCTGGGCTCCTCGGGCCCAGGAGGAGGAGGAAGAAGAGGAGGAGAGGGCTGAGGAAGAAGGAGATGCTACCACAGAGGAGGAGGACAGAGAAGAGGCCGTGGCTTCTGCACCTTCTGTCAAGGTGGGTCTCACCCACACAAACCAGCCTGGGTCAAGCCTTGGCCCATTGACCCCCTGGCTGTGGTGGGTATGTCTGTTGTGATTGGCATTGCTGCCGACGTGTGTCTATCACTCAAACTCAAACCCCAAGTCATCTTGACACCTATCTTAGTCACAGTTAGTGGTAGGTCCCTAGGCCAGCATTGTCCTGACATCTGGCAGTCAAAGAGGGTGCTGAGAACCTATGAACAGACATGTTCTGTGTCCCTCAGGCCATCTGTGCCAGGGGCCCTGGGCACAGTCCTCCCCTGCCCAAGAGCTGGCAGCTTCTAGGATCCTCTTTGCCTTGAGGATAGAGGGCCTCCTACCAGCCTGTGTACTTAACCTATGAGCCTGGGGGTCACCTACCTGCCTCATCAGGCCTCATAGCTCCAGGCACACCCTTTTTGGCCCTTGAGTTTACTCTCAGTGGCTCACAGAGGGGCCTGCCTACTTACTGGGGACCCATCAGAAAAGCCCCATACTGGCCAGAGGCCCCATCTTTATGTCCTCATTGCACCCCTATCCTGGGCATGGGCTGAGGACATGTAACAGCTGAGAGGACCTAAGGGTTGAATCAGGGACAGCCAAGCTTTGGCTCTGCCCCACCTGGAGCCTCTAGCCCAGTCAGCCAAGCCCACAGCCTGGCAGACCCTATAGACCAGAGAGACCCTATGCCCAGGGCAGTGCCTGCCTAGGTGGGGAGAGGCCAGCTTGGGCCTTGGGAGCTTGGTGTGGCCTTCCTCCTGTCCTGTCTGCTCATGGTGAGGGTTGGATGAGGCGGTGGTGGTCCCCAGTGGTGGCTAACCCGCATGCCTCGCTGGTCCTGTCCTAACAGGGGGTGTCGTTTGACCAGGCCAATAACCTGCTGATAGAGCCTGCTCGCATTGAGGAGGAAGAGGTCTGTACTGCTCACTGCTGCTCTCTGCTCTGACATTGCTTCCTGGGCTGCAGGCTCTTACCTCTCCCACCCTAGCACTCAAATGATACCCCTTCTGGAAGAGTCCTCAGCAGCTGCCATAGAACTGGGGTCCCACAGGGGCCTGATGACCCCCTGACAGGAAGAACCCATCTCTGTCCCGGGGCAGCCTGCCCCCAGAGCACAAGTGGAGGCTCTGTGGCATTTCTTGTCTTCTTGCCCATGATCCTTGAAGTAATTCGGCTGTTGATATGGGATAAGGCCTCACCCTGGAGGAGGGCAGTCCTGGACTACCATACATGCTCCTGCTGCAGCCAGCACTTGACCACACAGGCCCTCCCAACACTGAATCTGCTCTATTTCCAGCTGATGCTCACCATTGTGCGGCAGACAGGGGGCCTGGGCATCAGCATTGCGGGAGGCAAGGGCTCCACCCCCTACAAGGGAGACGACGAGGTGAGCAGCTGCCCAGGCTATCACTAGGCCTGCCCACACAATCTTGGAGCCTCCTCATTGCTCTAAGGGTGTGAGGTGCTTCCCCTTGACTTCTTGGCCACTATCTTCTGGGTATTCTGCCTACCTCCGGGAGAACACACATTCTTCAGTGCAGGGCTTAGGCCTGAGACACTGAGCAGACCCAGGAATATGTTCCTGCTGAAATCAGGGTGACTTGCAGGTGCCTAGACTGCTTGCTGTCTCCACAGCCTAGTCTGCCTTCTCGTTCTCTTATGGTAGCTCTGGGGTCAGCGCCTTTTCTTAGATCATCTTGCACCCTCCAGGCCCACTGTTCTCTTTCATGCATGTTGGGGATCTTTGCAGAGAGCAGGCCAGGGCTGGGGTCAGCAGAGCATAGTCTCTCTCTGCCCAGTGTCTTCCAGGGCTTCCCCAGCTACCACAGTGCTTCTCCTAGATGGGGCAGGACAAGGGCCCCTGTGCAGCCTTTGCCTGGATCATATGGACAGACCTTCTTGTTCTCCAGGGCATTTTCATCTCTCGTGTGTCAGAGGAGGGCCCTGCTGCCCGTGCTGGGGTCCGAGTGGGTGACAAACTTCTTGAGGTAAGTGGTGACATTTCACAAGCTTTGTAGCTATTCCTTAGATAGGGTGCACAGTCCTGCTTATTGATGTGTTTGGCTGCCTCCATTAAGAGATGGCTGCTTCAACCACCCCCTTTAAGAGTTCTGAACCGAGGCCCCTAAGTCTGACTGAGGCTGTGGGGCCCAGCTGCCAGCACCCAGAGAGATCCCTATCTAGCCAAGAGACATGGTGAAAGGTGCTGGCCATCCCAAAAGCAAAGGGGAAGATCTAGAATGGGTCAGACCTCTAGCAGCCCTGGAGTGTCCAGGAGTTTGTCCTGGGAGTGTGTGGGATTGGCCCTAAGCCTCTGGCTGTCAGGGAGTTACAAGAAGGCTCTCCGTCCCACCAGCACAGATGGGGACCTGGGGGCTCAAGCCAGGGACATGTTAGGTGGGAATGCTTGGCTTCCATCCCAGCCTCTGCCTAGGAGCTCCTGTCCAAAGGCAATGGAGGCTGGGCGCAGTGGCGCACTCCTGTAATCCCAGCACTCGGGTGGCTGAGGCAGGAGGATCGCTGTGAGTTCGAGACCAGCCTGGGCTACATAGTGAGTTCCAGGTCAGTCTCAACTACATAGTGAGACCCTGTCTCAAAAAACAAAACAAAAACAAACAAAGGCAATGGAGTAAGAGTGGGGTTTCAGTATCCTATTTCCCATGGCCACCTGCGTCCTGGCCTTGGGGATGCACACATGGGACTCATCTACTGGAGCCCTAGGGCCAGCCCTCTCACTTTGTACCCTGATCTTCCCTTCCTTAGAGGGGAACATGTGCAAAGCCTTCATGTATCTCAGTGCACTGTCTGGGTTGGGCTGGGTGCTAATGTGTGCCACAGCTTCTGTTCCCCTCCACCCACAGGTGAATGGCGTGGCCTTGCAGGATGCTGAGCACCATGAAGCTGTGGAGGCACTTCGTGGGGCTGGTGCTACCGTACAGATGCGTGTATGGCGAGAACGCATGGTAGAGCCTGAGAATGCAGTCACTGTCACACCTCTGCGGCCTGAAGATGACTACAGTCCCCGGGAGTGGCGAGGATGTGGCCTTCGCCTGCCCCTACTCCAACCTGAGGCCCCTGGGCCTCTGCACCAGCGCCATACAGCCTGCCTAGTGCGCAGTGAGAAGGGGCTGGGCTTCAGCATCGCTGGGGGAAAAGGCTCCACGCCCTACCGGGCAGGCGATGGGGTAAGGCAATGTGTCCTGGGCACAGGGTGAGGCTTCAGAGGTATCATTGGTGCTGGACTGCGTGCTGTCCATGCCCATTGCCTCACCAGTAGCAAAACACCCCCCCACACACAGGGCATCTTCATCTCCCGCATTGCTGAGGGGGGTGCTGCCCACCGGGCAGGCACTCTACAGGTCGGCGACCGTGTCCTCTCGGTGAGCTGGGGCAGGTGGGGCCTGCCCAGCACCCTCTACCACCCACTCTCCCTGACTTGAGTATGCCCTTACAGATCAATGGGGTGGACATGACGGAGGCCAGGCATGACCACGCCGTCTCTCTGCTGACTTCTGCCTCCCCTACCATTGCCCTGCTGCTGGAACGGGAGACTGGGGGGCCCTCCCCTCCTAGTCCCCCACCACATTCCTCCTCACCCCCCACCATTGCTGCTGCTGCCACCCCTGGGGAGCCTGGACTGCCCAGGCTAGCTCCTAGTCTGCTTACTGCAACCTTGGAAGGACCATACCCAGTGGAGGTGAGAAACCTGCTCCCTAGTCACTCTGGTGGATGTATACTTGGCTCCAGGTATCAGGACAGAAAGCAGTGTGCCCTTTGAGAGGCTGGTGTCTTGCTCTGCAGTCAGCCTACTGGGTATGAGCATCATCTGCCTCAGCACAAGTCTCCCTGCTAATGAATGGAAAGGGTCAGCAGATGTACTGAGACCTCACCCTTCCATTCCAAAGACCTAACTGCTCCACCCTCAGCTCATCATCTCCACTCTGTCCTGTTATCCCCAGGAAGTCTGTCTACCAAGAGCCGGGGGCCCTCTGGGGCTTAGTATTGTCGGGGGCTCTGACCACTCCAGCCATCCATTTGGTATCCAGGAGCCTGGTGTTTTCATTTCCAAGGTAGGTGGGCCTAGGGTGGTTCTGTACCAGGCCACCCTTGGCACAGATGAGTGAGGCCCTAGCCCACAACATGCTACCATCCTCTCCAACAGGTGCTCCCACGAGGCCTTGCTGCTCGATGTGGCCTGCGGGTTGGTGACCGCATCCTGGCAGTAAATGGGCAGGACGTTCGGGAGGCCACACACCAAGAGGCTGTTAGTGCCTTGCTCCGGCCCTGCCTAGAGCTGTCCTTACTCGTGAGAAGGGACCCACCACCCCCAGGAATGCGGGAGCTCTGCATCCAGAAGGCCCCAGGGGAGAAGCTGGGCATCAGTATCCGGGGGGGCGCCAAGGGTCATGCAGGGAACCCCTGTGACCCCACAGATGAAGGCATCTTCATCTCCAAGGTAAGGGCCTGGCCTTGCTGGTGGGCAGGTATGTGCCAGACACTGGGTCTCATTCCACTCTGCCCACAGGTGAGCCCTACAGGGGCGGCCGGGCGTGATGGCCGCCTACGTGTGGGGCTACGGCTCCTGGAGGTGAACCAGCAGAGCCTCCTGGGCCTGACGCACGCAGAAGCAGTGCAGCTGCTGCGCAGTGTGGGTGACAACCTCACTGTGCTTATCTGTGATGGCTTTGACACCAGTGCCACCACAACCCTGGAGGTTAGTGACCTGGAAGGGCACAGGTACTGCCTAGGATCATGGGCTGGGTGGCAGAGTCTTTCCCCTCAGCTTAGGGAGCACTTGGCAGTACTGCATCAGCCATGCCAGGTTGTCTTCTCCTCAAGCCCTGTCTTTGTGCTGTCTGGTGGCTCTGGGCACCTGTGTAGTCTGTCAGAGAAGCCAGACAGAGTGGCATCACTTGTCCTGCAGACTGCATCAGGTGCCCCCTATCTCAGCTGTGGCCTCCTGCCTCTCCCTGGCCCCATTTCACCCCTAAGCAGAGCTTCTTCCGTACTATCTTGCCTGATAGCAGGACACTGGGCCAGAATAGGGCCTCAGCTGCCCTCTTGCCCTCTTGACACAAAGGAAGACTGTCTGTCTTCCAGTACTAGACTTCATCTTGCAGCTTCAGTGCCTTTTGGGGGCTCATGCTATCTCATCCCCTTCCCACCTGCCGTTCCTGGAACCTTTCATCATGGTTGCCAAATGGGTCTCCAAGGGACTTCTCCCTGCAGTGGCCAGCTCTGCCTAGACAGCATCCTGCTGGTCAATGGGTGCTGGTGGCTCTGTCACCATTCCCCAATGCTTCAGACCCTTGGGACCACCAGAGATAAGGAGTCATGTCAGGTTGGCTCTCTTGTGAATCTTGGGATGGTGATGACTTCTGAGATGCCACCCTGAAAATGCCCCCCAAGGCTGTCAGCCTTGGGTCACCCTAATAGAAAATGAGATTGCCTGTGCCCTTTTTGTTCCTGGCTAGAGCCTGTGTGAACTGCATTGGAGGTGTCAAGACTGGCCCTCATCCCTACAGGAGTCCTGCTGGTCTTGGGGACAGATTTCTCTTAGAACTTACGCCTTGGATGGTCTTGTTCCTAGAGAAAGCCTCACCTTTTGTTTACTCATTCAAATTTGTATATTTAAAAGTGTTTCACTCAATACATTTACTTTTGGGGGTTTTTTTTTGTTTTGTTTTGTTTTTTTGAGACAGCGTCTCACTATGTAGTTGAGACTGGAACACACTATGTAGCCCAGACTGGTCTTGAACTCACAGTGATCCTCTTGCCTCAGCCTCCCGAGTGCTGGGATTACAGGTGTGCACCACCATGCCTGGCTGCTTATTTTAAACTTTTTAATTTAAAGAGAGAAGCCTCAGAAAGCATGAGGTTCCAGGAGAATAGGACTAGCATGCCCTGTATTATCATCAGGCCTGTGTTCCCTGGGCTCTGCCTCTGGTCCTGCTGTGTGACACAAGGTGTCCTTGCTATGCCTGGCACATACCCATCATGTCTGTTCTCCCCAGCAGGAAGTGAGCAATGTGGGCCAAAGTCTTCTGCCCCCAGTAGCCATCTCCATTCTGTGACTCCCTTCCCCACAGGGTGTTGATCTTGTCTTAGGATGCATGGCTGCTCAGCTACTGTATGTCATAGGTGCCTGCCACACTCTTGTCAGCATGGATATCTGTCTTATGCTCTGCAGCACATGGCTGTTTTTTTTGTTATTCAGAGTTTTCTTTTTAAAATAGTATCTTTTTGGTCCAAAAACATATTTATGAGCTAAGTCCTTTAGAAGTTCTAGATTGTTGTTTCTGCTTAGGGAACCGTCACATTTGCAGGATCATAAAAACTTCATCCTATGTTTCTCCAGTACTTACACAGTTTTTTAAAAGTGCAACTTTGCCAGGTATGTTGGCACATGCCTATAATCCCAGCACTTGGGAGGCTGAGGCAGAAGGATTGCTGCAAGTTAGAGGGAGGCCAGCCTAGGCTACGTGGTCAGTTCAAGGCCAGCCTGCACTACAAAATAGGACTCTGTCAAAAACACAGCTCTGTAAGTCCCTCTGGAATTTGCAAGTTATTAGATACTAATTCTCCCAACAGTGCTTTTGTTGTTCATGATAGTGGTGTTTTTTTGTTTGTGTGTGTTTTTGAGACAGGTTCACTGAATATAGATAATGCTGGCCTTGAACTTAACTATATAGCCTAGAACTAGTCTTGAACTTGCAGTAATCCTCCTGCCTCAGCCTCCAACAGTACTTATGTGACTAGCTGGTTTTCTCTTTGCTGATTTGAGGATACATGCCTGTGCTGTTTTAAATTGCATGTGTCCCAGGGCTCATTTTTAGGCTCAGTCACAGTGGGCTACAAGTCCTTTCTGGCCAGTGCCACACTGTGCACCTGCTGTTGCTTTATGGTATATTTTAAAGCTTAAGTGGTCAAGTCACCCATATTTTCCATTCTCTTTTGAAAAGTTTTGTTGGTTTTCTGTTCTGAACAAATCTACAAAGTTCCTAATAAATTAATGTTCTTCCAGCATTCCTTGCTTGCCCTGGTTTTCTTAATAGTTCTCATTAAAGCCGGGCATGGTAGCACACGCCTGTAATCCCAGCACTCAGGAGGCTGAGGCAGGAGGATCACTGTGAGTTCGAGAGCAGCCTGGGTTACATAGTGCATTCCAGGTCAGTCTCAACTACATAGTGAGACCCTGTCTCCAAAAACAAAAAAAAAACAAAAACAAAAAAAAAATAGTTCTCATTAGTCCTGGCCAGCTGGATTTGCTGTTTCTTGGCAGAAGCCATGTCACCTGGTGCTCTGGGACAGCAGGGATTACTGATTCGGATTCTCCTGGTCTGTGGTCTGGGATCTGAGTGTTTTCAGGGCTCTTGCATTTTGGAGAAACCAGGTTCTTTCTTACCTCTGGGCCTTGCCAGCTGCTGGCCTTCTACTCTTCAGTCTCTGTCCATAAAGGTGGTGGTGATGGGGCACACACCCGTCTAACCACTGTCATATCCCTAAGCAGTCTGGATCAGTGCAGACATCCCAAGAAAACTTTGCACTTTACTCTTTCACATATTTTGTATTAAGAAGCTAATTCTCTCCTCTTCAAAAATTGTCTTCTTTAGGCCGGGATTTAGCTCATTGGCACTGCACCTGCCTCACAAGCTCAGCGTCTTGAGCTCAATCCCCAGTACTGCGGAAAAAAAATTGTCTTTTTTTTTTTTTTTTTTTTTTTTTGTGATCCTGTTCTGCCCATCTTCCTCCTGATCACACTGGCCCAAGCTTCTAGTACAGATGGTCCCTGGCTTACATGGTGCAAACAAGATAAACATGCAGTATAGACTGAACTTGGATCTTCTCCTGTGCTGGAGGTGCCTGGAGAGTGTCTGACTTTCCTGTTCTGAGTATGTCCTTGCTTTCTGAATACCGAGACACTTTGGCTTCTCTTGTACTTTCCTGCCCAGCTTGGCTGGCCACTTCTCTAGGGAGTACAGGTTCTTCTAGTGGGAAGTGACATTTAGGAGCCACAGTCTGTGTGCTGGGCAGTGGATTGCTATAATGGTGCTGTAGTCTAGGGACCACATGACCATTGCTACCTGTGTTTCTTTCTGGAGCTCTGGGAAGCCTGAGGCTGTCTTGTGGTACTATCTGCCTTCCAGTCAGCCCATGGATCAGCCTCTCTATGCAAGTGGTCTTCTCTGACCTGGGAAACCAGCTTTCCTCATCCTCACTGCTTTAATTTTCTATATGGTTCCTGTGTGTGTGAGACAGTCCTCCTCATTCTGCTGGGCCTTCTGCCTCTCTTGGGCCTACCTGCTTAGTAGCTTTTTGACCACATCATTCCAGAAACAAAGGTAGGAACTTTGTTTGCTGTTGTTAGTGTTGTCAGTATTTAGAAGACCTACAGTTATGTCTCTTGTTTGTGTTAATTTAGAGCACATCTTTGTAGTGGTCTTTACTTTCTGTATTAAGCTGCTCATTTGTTTAGGGTTTACAGTTAATGATCATGGCACTGTTTTTGTAGAGTACCTTCATTTTTACCGTGTCTTCCAGTGCCTACTTGACACTTTTAACTTTAAATTCCATCTTCTCAAGTCAGAGCAGCTCCTCTCTGCTGATTTCTTTCTTATTATCTTAATGGTTTTTGCAACAGTAACATACCCTCTACATGTTGCCAGTGCTTGGAACAGGGTTTGTGTTTCAGCCCACACTGAGTGTCCCTCTGCAGTTGGGGACTTGCCCATAGGTGGGTGATCATGCATGCCTCACTGTCCACTCTGCTGCCTGCTCCTCCCTGGTGGGAGGTGGCCAAGGCCAGAACTGGTCCGTTTTGTGCCTTTTAGGGTAGAAGTGAGCTATTCCTGTTGCCATCACCTGTTTGTACCCTTGATCCAAGCACATTCTCTCCTTGCCTTCACCTAGCTTCCTGGTCCCACTCACCCTGCCCAGTGCCCAGCATCTTTACTTTCTAGACTCCCAGTGTTTCAAGCTATTCCTTGCCATCACCTGTTTGTACCCTTGATCCAAGCACATTCTCTCCTTGCCTTCACCTAGCTTCCTGGTCCCACTCACCCTGCCCAGTGCCCAGCATCTTTACTTTCTAGACTCCCAGTGTTTCTGGGTTTTTGTTTTCTTTTCTGCTTTTTCTTCTTTTCTTTTTTTGAGACAAGATTTCACTAAGTTGCGTGGGCTGCGCTGCACTTGTGATTCTCCTGCGTCAGCCCCCACAAGTAGCTGGCGTTATAAGCATGCACCACCATGCCCTGCACAGTCTTGGGTTTTGATAGATGACCTGGCTACATGAGGCTTAGAAGAACAAAGTGGGTTTCCTCTTGCAGCATGGCCTCAGTTTCAGCCCCTCACCAAGCACCCACATTGCATGTCTTCAGCACTACATATCTGTCTGGGCACATCAGTCTGTGCCACAGGCACATTGCTCTCTCTTTCTTCCTGTCTTGGTGTTTTCATTTCTTTGTTCCAGTCAGTCTTTGCCCTGTCCTATAGTCCCACCCTGCACATACATGGCCTGTACCCACAGCAGCCCTGTGAGCCAGGTTCATCAGCTGTCCTGTGTCTCTGGCACACTGGGGATGGGCACAGTGTCCTTGCTGGCACAGCAGGTTGCTCCTGGAGGCCACCTTAGGTATTGAGGTGCGGGCTGCGTCCACTGCATGTTACTGGCTTGCTCTGGGCCCAGGCTTCAGACTGCCCTGGAGGTGGGACCTTGTCAGCAAAGACCCTTACAATCACCCTACTCTTCTCTCAGGTGTCCCCAGGTGTCATTGCCAACCCATTTGCGGCAGGAATCAGCCACCGGAACAGCCTGGAAAGCATCTCGTCCATTGATCGGGAGCTAAGTCCTGAGGGCCCAGGCAAGGTCAGGATGAGCTGTATCTGGCAGCCCCAGGCCCAGAGCTGAGGTGCCAGGTCCTGATTGTGTCTGCTTTGCTCACAGGAGAAGGAGCTGTCTGGTCAGACCCTGCCCTGGGGACCTGAGGCTGCAGAGACCACAGTGAGTCCTACACAGCCTAGTTAAGAGCCCTGGGCTGCCTCCTTCCATTGGAGCACTGAAGGGGTGAAAATAGCTGTGAGGCAGCAGGGACCACGTCCCTGGCACATACAGCCCCTACTAGCATTGTGTGTGCTCTTCCCCCCAGGTTCAGAGTCCAGAGCCCCTGAAACTGGATTACCGAGCCCTAGCCGCTGTTCCCAACACTGGCAGCATGCAGAGGGTCAGTGCTCATTGTGTACTGCATTGTATCCCGTCCCACCTGCCTGCTCACCTGCCTATTGGTTTCCTTTGCGTTAAACCCTTCCCTTCACCTGGGGGGCCACTACCAGCCAGACAAGCACCATGGCAACCATGAAGGGAACCTTTGAGGTAGGGGCATAGGCTGGATTGCAGGAGACTACCTTGGGCCTGCATTTGTCCTGTGGGAGCTCATCCTCCTAACCTGGCAGTATATTCTACCTTTAATGTGTACCCTTAACCATGCAAGGCAGGTGCTACTGTCCTCTTTCTTAGCTGAGGGCATAAGGTACAGAGGGAGTCCTTTGAATATCCCTGGCTCCTTGTCCTAACCAAGCAGCTGGGTATGGGTGACCCTGAGCTCAGCCTGTGGCAGGCAGAGTGGCTCTTGGTGGGGACAGGGCAGCTGGGGGGAGTGGTGTGCATGAGATCCCGGGGCTGGGCATGACTTGCAAATAGTTGTGGGCCTGGGGCAGGCAGCAAGGACATTCAGTTCTTATTCCTTCCCAAAGGGTATATGTAGCCCACTGGGAGACCTGCAGGACTGGAGTGTTTAGGTGGGGGGAGATTGGCCAAGATGCTGCCCAAGTAGTGGAGAACACCAGAGAGCCAGGTGGGACCTAGGGTCTGAGGGAGCCTATTCAGGGGCTTTTGGACACTGATACTCTTCTCTTAAAAACAACCGCAAGAGGGAAGCCTTCACAAGAGACAGGGTCCAGCATCCTGTAATGGAGGAGAGGCACAGCTGTGGGTAATTGGCACAGTTCAGCCAGCCAAGAAGGAGTTCCTATGCTGCCTACTTCCCCACACACACCCCAACCACCCCCTACCCCCCCACCCTTAGGGAATGCAGCCCTGCCTGGTCCTCCCCTACCTATTGGCTTTTTCAGGTACCATCTGGGATGACCGGAGGGAAGATAAGGGAATGCACCTGCCTGGTCCTCCCCTACCTATTGGCTTTTTCAGGTACCATCTGGGATGACCGGAGGGAAGATGACCTCAGACCCCTGCTCCCCCACTGGCCAGCAGGTGAGCATCCCCATCATAGGTGCCCCACAGGGCCTACAGTTGGGTGCTGGTATGCAGAGCTCCTAGGGAGGTGCTGTCAGGAGACCATGCCTTCATGGGGACACTTTCCTATCCAGACCTGACCTCTTGAGGGGAGGATGCAGCTCTTGGACTTGTGTATCTAGAGGGGCTCAACCCTTAGGCTGCTTGTACTGGTGCCCTATCCCTGCTTGCTGCATGGGGAGGGCCAGGCCAGGGGATCCCTTCTGTGCACTACAGTGTGGGGTACATGCAAGAGCTCCCTCAGAGTCCAGCTCCCAGGCTCAGCCTCTCAAACATAGAGGCATTCAGTGAGTGTCCACCCCACCCCTGTTACCCATCTTGGCTCCCCCACTCTCCATTTTCCCTCCTCTTTCACCCCATCCCTCCCACATCATTCCTGGACCTCTCACCCCACCCTCCTCTGGCCCCCACCCCTGCCCTTTGCAGACAAAACCGGGGGTGATCCAGCCATTGGCTCAGGCCTGGCCAAGGGGCTCCCCGGCCCCTAGGGGGAGAGGTGGTCCCTGCTCTGTGAGTGCCGTGTCCCACAGGGGGTAGGGGTGGCAAATCTTCCTTCCTGGGCAGGATGATGGCTGGGGGTTGGTAATCGGTATGGACAGCTGGTGGTTGGGTGGGTTGCCTACAACAGGGACCGCTGCCCTAGCCCAGCTCATGCAAGCTCTTTGCTCCCAGCCATCCTCCCCAGATGAACTGCCGGCCAATGTGAAGCAGGCCTACAGGGCCTTTGCAGCAGTACCTACTGCACACCCTCCTGAGGATGGTGCTACTCAGGTGTGTAGGAAGCAGTGCTCTTCGCCATGTATGTAGTGTGGGTGGGTGACACAGCTAGTGGACACCCATGAGGTCTCAGGGGCCTTTCTTTCTCCCAGCCCCCTGCACCAGGGCCAGCGGCCTCCCCTGAGCAGCTGTCATTCCGTGAGCGGCAGAAGTACTTTGAGCTGGAGGTGCGGGTGCCCCAGGCCGAGGGCCCCCCAAAACGTGTCTCTCTAGTGGGCGCTGATGATCTTCGGAAGATGCAGGAGGAGGAAGGTGAGGAGTGCAGCGGTGGGAAGGGCCCAAGTGCCACTGCCTGATGACCTGACCTGACCCTCCCATCTCCCACAGCCCGAAAGTTACAGCAGAAGAGGGCACAGATGCTACGGGAGGAGGAGGCTGCAGCCATGGGACCCAACATAGGCCTTCCCGTGGATGGGGAGGCCCTGGATGAGGAGCAGCAGGATGAGCCACCCTGGGCCGACCCAAGCCCTGCAGGAGGGTGAGGACAGTACCCTATCCCCAGCCTTGCCCAGTGCAGGCCCTTGCCTGCAATAAGCCTTGTCCCCTTCCCCAGCTCTAGCCCAGCGTCACCCCCACCTATGGTGGGCAGTGCTCCTGTGCGGACAGCCAAAGCTGAGAGGCGCCATCAGGAGAGGCTGCGCATGCAGAGCCCAGAGCTGCCTGTGCCCGAGCGGGCCCTGTCCCCTGCAGAGCGTCGGGCTCTAGAGGCCGAGAAGCGGGCACTGTGGAGAGCAGCTAGGTAAGCCCAAGCCCTGCCCACTCCCTGCCACATTGAGGGCCTAGCTTTGCCCACCCACTGCTTCCTGCAGGATGAAGTCTCTGGAGCAGGATGCCCTTCGAGCACAGATGGTTCTCAGCAAGTCCCAGGAAGGCCGGAGCAAACGAGGGCCCCTAGAGCGTCTAGCTGAAGCCCCATCACCTGCTCCCACCCCATCACCTACCCCCTTGGAAGGTATGTGTCTAGGGGGAAGGGGAGGGCTAAGCCTGCCAGGTAGGCCTCTCCCAACACTAGCTTCTTGTCCCTCCAGACCTCAACCTCCAGACCAGCACCTCGCCCGGACGCCTGGTGAGGAGCCAGAGGCTCTCACTTAGCCCTGCACCCCCCTAGCACAAGGGAGCGGGTCCAGACCACCCCCACCCACTGTCCTTATCTCTCCCTCGAATTCTGTGTGCCTCTTCTCCCCTCATGCTATCCTTTCAAGCCTTTGTCTGGAAAGAAGTTTGACTACAGGGCATTTGCCGCCCTCCCTTCTTCCAGGCCTGTCTATGACATCCAGGTACTGGTACCTTCAGGCCTTCTTCTGCACGAACATGTGCATGGACCTGGTTGCAACTCCTGTACCACCCTTCTGTCCCCCACCCCACATTCTGCTTCTGTGCCCTGTTCCTCTGGTGTGGGGTCTTCCCACCTGCTTGCCATTTCAGCCCAGCTCTGCACTGACCCAACCCAGTTCTGTGAGCCTCAGAGCCCGGGAGCCAGCCAAGGCGGTGTGGGTGGTTTCAGGCAGATCTGGGATTGGCCCTGACCAGCCCTTCTCCCCATCACAGTCACCAGACTTTGTGGAGGAGCTGAGGTCCTTGGAACCATCTCCCAGTCCTGGTGAGTTGGCACATAGTTTGGGGTAAGCTCCCCAATTCCTTGGCCATGCTGGGCTCATGGTGTCCCTGTCCCCATCCCCTACCCAGGCCCACAGGAGGAGGATGGAGAGGTGGCCCTGGTGCTCCTGGGAAGGCCCTCACCAGGTGCCATGGGCCCTGAAGATGTGACGCTGTGCAGCAGCCGCCGAGCCATGCGGGCTGGGCGTCGTGGCCTGGGCCCTGTGCCCTCCTAGGGAGCTGTGCCTCCCTGGACTTGGGGTGGGGGCACTGCCAGCTCCAATACTGCCCTTGCCCTGAGCCTTTTAACCTGGGTGTTAGCATTTTGAAGAGACCCCTCAGGAGTTCTGGCTCAAACTCCCAACCCCTCCCAAGCCAGGATCTCTTGGCAAGACTGTAACTAGTGATGTTTGTACAACCAAAGACTCTATTTTGTGGTTTAAGGAAAATAAAGTTGATTACGTTTTACCAGGTGTGTCCATCCATTGGTCCCACCAAGCTGGCTCCCAATCTTTGGCCTTTCCCCAGCAGGGCACCCCTGCCAGGCCCTGGGAGCCAGTGTCCAGTAGTCAGGGTCTGGACTGGTGCAGTCAGGGATGCAGTGTGTGCTTTATTGGGAGCAGAACTAGAAACCTCTGCTGGGCAGCTGCACATGCACAGGGAGCAGCACTTGGAGTTGCTCAGTTGGTGGCCAACGTACCTGGGTGACAAGAGGCGAAATTGCTCTAGGCGCGCCTCCTGGAACCAGGTAGGATCATACTCTGCCCCATCAGTGGGCCGCAGTAGTGACAGGTACCGTTCTTGCGCTAGCAACCCACGGCTCAGCAGTGCCTGCGCCAGGCCCAGCTGCACAGCTTCTAGCTGCCGCTGCAACACAGGAAACAGGTCCAGCTCTCAAAAGTCAAACACCAGCGGCTTCCCATACCTACAAGCACTGCCAGTGAGCACAGGGTGGAGCCGGGGGCCCCTGTCTGCTCAGCGCCCTGCCCATCCTACCTCAGTGCCCCCAGCAGCGCTATCCGGATACTCTCAGGCCTCATGTGCTCTGGGTTCATGGTATCCATGTAGTTGGTGTCCTGGTAGCATAGGAAGGTGGCTGCTTGGCCTGAAGAGTCTATGATAAGAGGCCACCTGTGGGCAGCCACCAGGTCACCGTTGGGCACAGCTGTCGCAGACTCACCCAGGCCTACCCTGAGTGCTAACCTGCCATCAGCATTAATGCGGTTGCCCACATCCTTCATCAGCACGTCATGGAGTTCAGTGACCTGGCACTTCAGCCCTGGAGCCTCCTCCTCTGTGAGGATGTTAGGGTAAGGCCTTCAGGAGCTCCCAATCCAGACACCCCAGGGCCTCACCACCTTCCATCCCCAACAGAAGCCCCACCCACCTTCCTCGCTGTGCTCCCGAAGCTCCAGCCGGGCCAGGGCCAGCATCTCCTCAGTCTTCTGTGCCTCCTGCCGCAACATGGCCACATGGGCTTCTGTATCCTTGACAGCCTGTGGAAAGGTCCACACTTCACCTTCCCTTCCCCCTCCTCATCTCAGGCCCACTACTTTAGGCTTTAGCCATTTCCCGTGGGGGCCTCAGTACTGGCCCCAAGTTCCAGAGCAAAGATACCAGTAATACTGGGCCTGGCAGGGGAAGCTCTGAGCTGGTGCAGAACAAGGAATACAAGAGGCAAGGCACAGCTCAGGAGTAGCCGCACCTGCAGTGTGAGCTCAGCCTTGCCTGGGCACTTCTGCCGGCACCTGTCATGCTCTGAGATCCTCCGATGGAGTTCACAGTAGGCCTGCTGTAGCTGGAGGTGAGGAGGGAAGAAGAGAGTGCTAACATTAGCCTGCCTTTTGAGGTAGTGTGACCCCTCTGCCCCCTCTACCATTCCTTCCCGCTTACTGCCTTATGACATTGCTGCTGCTCCCTGGCCATCTGCTGCACTTTGAGGGCCAAGCTGCAAGGGAGAGAAGGGCAGTCAAAGGATGCCCTCCCTGGTGCCCAGTAGCACCCTCGCTGCCCCTCAGCACACACCGCTTAGCCTCTGCAGCCTGCTGTTGCTGGGCTTCCTGGGCCCGGCACTGCCACTCAGCCTCCATGTTCTGCAGCATGGCTTCAGTGAGGCGGACGTCCCAGGTCTGCAGCACAGTGGCCACTGCATCCAGGGAGGCCACCTAGTGATAGGAGCACATGCATAGTGAGGGTTTTGCTCCACCTAGGAAGGAAATATTTTACTTCTGTTTTAGAGAAAAGGTCATGGTGTTTCAGAAAGGTGACTGTGCAGATAGCTGGTCCCTGATGGGCATGTGGTACAACTGCCCCCCAAAGCCAAGATCAGAGAGGGGCCTCCAGGGCTCCCTGCCCAAGTCCAAGAAGGCCTGTGTCCTATGGTAGGGCCAACCCACATCCCCTCCTCAGCATCCAGGGTCCCGACCTCCATTCTCTGTCAGTAAAGTGTACCCTTGAGGCCTGGCCCTCTTGAAGATGCCTTCCTCTGTGATGCCCTTGCAGGACACAGGTCCCCTACGCACACATTCTAGGATTCTCTTCCTAAGTCCCCCTGAAGCAATAGAGGTAGATACAGCCCTGGGACTCAAGACTGTTGCCCCTACGCCTGGCTCAAGTCTGGAGCAGCCTGGTGCACATGGGGCACAAGGCTCCTTTGTGACCAATCCCAGCCTACCCTTGGCAGGAAGCTGTAATGAATGACACTCATCTTAGAGTCCCATAGGGTACCTGCTATCCAAATGGGAAGATGAGGCCAGCTCCCTACTAGGAGGGCTAAGGTGGTATAGGTTGTGACCAACAGAAGAATCAAATATATTCAACCCTACCAGCCAAAGATGCAGGGGCAGTCAGGCATGGCAGCACATGCCTGTAATCCCAGCATTTAGGAGGGTGAGGCAGGAGGGTTCCCTGAGTTCAAGCCTAAACTGCATAGCAAGACTCTGTCTCAAACAAAAACACAGATGCAGCTGAGCAGCCAGGAGGCCAGTGGATGGCAAAGGTAGGGCAGACTCATTGCAAGTTCTTGTAATGGAAAGGATAGAGATACAGTGGGGTAGGGGCAAGCTTCTTGCAGGGAGAGGTGGCCAGGAAATGAGCCAGGCCACAAGGCAGAGGTGAGGCCCTAAAAGTGGGTAGATGCAAAGATTTCACGGTTGTGAAAGGAGGAAAGCAAGAGGTGAGAAGACAGAGGTGAAAGGTAAGGCATGCAGAGGTCCCCAGATCTGCCATCCCAGAGGCCTGGCTGACACACATCCTGCACAGACCCCAGAGATAGGAAGAGGAAGGGACTATCTGTAGGACTTCAGGGACATACTGACACATGGAATGTCACCTCTTTGGTCCCTATACATTGATGAGTTAAAGACAGCCCAGTCATTGGGCCCCATGTTCCCTTCACAGCACCAAGATAATAGCTCAAAGCCTACCACAGGGCCTAACTCAAGTATTTATACACCAGCTCAAGATAGCCAAAATATACAGTATTTTTAGATTAGAGATGGCCTGCTTTGCATGCTCTGCAGAATTATGCCCACTGCCCCACAGTTTCTTGGGCCATCCATCCACGGCTGCCCTTCAGAGCTCTCTGACTTGTCATTTGCTGCCAAGCAACTCTGAGGGGCACTGGGCCTGACTGCAAACCTGTTCCACTGCTGCCTGAATAAAACCAGGTTCCACAAGACCTTCCACTACCACTCTCCATGTGGGAGCAACTCAGACATTTACAGCATAAGTGGGCTCCAAATCTCTTTCATAGGTTACCTTGGGGAGCCAGGCCCTGGATACCTTTCTTAAAATTGCAATCATAAACCAGGTGTGATGGCACACACCTGTAATCCCAGCATTTGGGAGGCTGAGGCAGGAAGATTGACATTAAATTCAAGGCAAGCCTGAACTACATAGTGAGTTCAGGGACAACCTGAACTACGTAGTGAGACCCTGTCTCAAAGCAAACAAAAAATTCCAATCACAGCCCTTGGCTTGAGTCTAAATCAATGGTGGCAAACCTATAGCACAAGTGCCACAGCTTGAAAGCTCTAAAAGGTTCACCATCACCAGCCTAAGCCCTTTTCCCTGTTTTATTTTTCACATTCTCCATAGCACTGATCATACTATGGACTGATGACCCCACTAGTGTGGGCTCTGTGATGGGAGGAACTTCATTTTGATAGAGGAAGTGCCCCCAGCACCAAGAACAGCTCCTAGCACAGACATCTTACCTGTCAGTTCAAGGGCTGGACAGTTAAGGGCTGAACGCAGTCCAGGTTACTGTACAGCTGATTGTACTTACATATGAATGAATAGCAAGAAACTGGAGAGCTGTACATATGGTCAGATTCATTAAAAAATGAGTATATAGAGAAATTCATGGATGGATGGATGAATAAATTGGTAGATGGATGATAGAAATAATTCATTAATAAATATATGACTTCAGAATAAGAGTGATCCAGATTTAGGCTCTTCCAAAAACTTGAACTCAGCCTCAGACCTTGCAAGCCCCAGAATTGGTAGGGTGACTCCAGACTGAGTAAAGAAAGGTATTGTCAGCCAGGCATGGTGGTGCATGCCTGTAATCCCAGCACTGGACAGGCTGAGGCAGGAGAATCGCTGAGTTTGAGACCAGCCTGGGCTGCATAGTAAGTTCCAGGTCAGTCTCAACTACATAATGAGACTGTCTCAAAAAACAACAACAAAAAAAAGTATTCTTCAAATTATTTCTATAGATAAAACATATAACACAATAAAAAGGCACAGGGAAGGTAAAATAAATGGAACCTGCAGGATTACAGGTGACAGAAACGGGTATACTGGGTTGTCAGCTATTGATTTTTAAATCTTAAAGTTACTTCATTCAAGGAGATGGAAAACAAGATTGAAAATTTTGGCACAGAATAGGAAGATTATACATATATACATACTGTATATACAGTATATATAACAAAGGAACTTTCTTGGAATTAAGATAATCAAAATTTAAAGTACATATTACTTAACAGCTAGCTAAATACATCTAAAGAGAGAATTAGTGAACTAGAAGACAAGTCAGAAGAAAATATCCAAAAAAAACCAGACAAAATGATGGAAAATAGAGGAAAAAGGTAAAAACTATGGTAGTCATTAGTGCTGATCATCATCTACATCCCTCCCTCGGCCTTCTACACAAGGCAAGATGACACTTTCTGAACAACTTGTGGCTTGATGGAGCCAAATGACTGGGTCTAGCCAGCAAGCTACAAGCACAAGCACTTTGTGCCAGATCCTCCAGAGTGCTCATCCCTCTGGTACAGTGACCAGCAGTGCTCAGGACAGTGGCTGTTCTGTTGGCCTGGGTCCCTAAAAGACTACAATGACCAGAAGCCCCCTGCCAGCCCTCAATGAACATGCAGCATAAGAAATAAACTTACTTGGTTTTAAGCCATCAAAGTTTGTGGATTGATTGCTTGAGCCATATGATATCCTAATTCATCCTGACAGGTATAAAAATATGGAGGCTGTTGCCAAGAAGGTGTGCCATACAATATTTGTAGTATGAGAATAAAGGCAGAAATAATAAAAAGAAAAAATGGCCAGGAACTTTCCAAAATTCTAAAAGAAAAGCAAGGTGAGGAGATTTGCTTTGCCTGGCACAAGGCTTATTAGTGACCATGACCGAGACGCTAGCATTTACATCAGGATAGACACAAAGGCTGTGGGTTGGAACTAGGCCCCCAATGGAGCTGCATATGGTATTTGATTCAGGATACAAGAGGCAGTGTGGAGCAATGTGGAAAGTGCATTCTTCAAAATGTACTTAGGACAATTACTTTGTACCTTCTTGTGAAAAATTAACTCTCACAAAACAGAAATAAGGCACATTCGATTGTAGATCTAAATGGAAAGATCTAATGGATTGTGTAAGAAAATATCTTCCTGCTGGGTGTGGTGGCGCACGCCTATAATCCCAGCACACAGGAGGCTGAGGCAAGAGGATCGCTGTGAGTTCGAGACCAGCCTGGGCTACATAGTGAGTTCCAGGTCAGTCTCAACTACACAGTGAGACCCTGTTTCCAAAAAATAAAATAAAAATAAAGAAGAAAAAGAAAATATCTTCCTGTCTTGGGGAATATAGACAAATTGATACCAGTGGCACCTGTTTTTGTGGTTTTTCAGTACAAGGTATTGAACCAAGTGCCCCACGCATGTTAGGCAAGCCCTCCACCACTGAGCTGTAAATCCAACCCTTTTTATTTTTTGATTTTGAGACAGGGTCTTATTAAATTGCCCAGATTGGCCTTGAATTTGTAATCTTCTTGCCTCAGCCTCCCAAATAGCTGGGATTATAGGTGTGCATCACACCCACTGGCTTGTTTTTGTTGTTTTGTTTTGGCTTGGTTTACTATTTTAAGACTTCTAGTTTACCTTCTTTGTTGGCTTACTAGCTACAACTCTCAATATTGTAGAAGTTGGCTTAGGGTTTCCAATATATAACATCATAATCTACCTCCAAATGATACCACTTTACTTATAAATTAAGAATCTAGGGCCGGGGATTTAGCTCAGCGGTTCGGAAGCCTGCCTTGCAAGCGCAAGGACCAGAGTTCAATCCCCCATACCAAAAAAAAAAAAAAAAAAAAAAAAAAAAAAAAAAAAAAATCTATGTGCCAGGAATGGTGGCACATGCCAGTAATCTGAGCCCTTGGGGGGCTAAGATGGGAGGATCATTGTGAGTTCGAGATCAGCCTGAGCTACATAGTGAGTTCCAGGTCAGTCTCAACTACATAGTGAGACTCTGTCTCCAAACAAACAAACAAAATAATCTATGACAATACATTTCTATTTCCCACTCCCAGTCCTTGTGGTGTAATCAATCACATGTTGACACAATTTTTATTTGTGCAGTTTTCAATATGTTATAAAACCACCAGCAAGCCAGGCGTGGAGGTACATACCTCTCAGCACTCTGGAAGGTTGAAGGAAGAGATCACAAGTTAAATCCCTTACCAATTCTCAAAAAAGAAACAGTGTGGAGATGTAGCTCCGAGAAAAGGCCCTAAGTTGAATCCCCAATATGGCTAAAAACAAAACCCACAACACAGCACAATTGTCCATATTTTCTTTTGGTTTGGTTTTTTGTTTGTTTTTGAGACAGTGTCACTATGTAGTTCAGGCTGGCCTTGAACTCACTATGTAGACAAGACTGGCCTCAAAATTACAGTGATCCTCCTGCCTGGGCCTCTGAGTGCAGGTATACAGGTGTGTGCCACCACGCCCATCTTACCTTCTTTTCATTTAGGATTCTTTCATCTGTTTATTCTGCATATGTTGCTTATTTTCTATTGTTGTGCCATTAAATTTGCTATTGTTTACCTCTACATTAATGCTATCCAAGGTATTTTTTATTTCAAACTTATAGTTGTCTGTGTGTGTGTTTGTGGTACTTGATATCGGGGACACTCTGCCCTACAGCTCCAGCCCACCCCCAGCCCTTTTAATCCCATCCGGTATCACAGACTATTTTTAATCTCCTACACTGCAGTTTCCACCTCCCAGAGACAGGGAGCTTGTTCATGATGCAGATGTAATAATATCCCTGTCCACCAACTCTTATCTGTGTCATATCAGACTCAGTTTTTAACTATCGATCAACCTTTCTCTTTACTCTGGCTAATTTTTCATGTCTCTGAATGCCTGGTAATTCTATTAAATTTATATTTGAAAATAACTATAAGTTGACAGGAAGTTGCAAAATAACATAGTATGCCTATGTAACTTTAGCAAGTGGCCCCCAGGAACAGCATCTTAACAACGCTACAATAATAAACAAAGCAAAATACTGACAATAAAAATCACTGGCCTATCATTCCACATTCTATTTCAACTTTACAGTACTCATCACACACATGCATGTGGGTGCTGTACAGATGCATCACAGATTCAGAATTACTCCACCCCAGGATCCCTCCTGCTCCTCCTTGCCAGTCACACCCATTTTTCTCTCCTTCCCCTTCCCCTGCAAACCACTAATCTGTTCAGCATCTCTATAATTTTGTCATTTTGAGAATGTTATGCAGATGAAGTCATCTAGTTGGTAACTTCTGAGAGGGCTTTCTTGCTCACAAACTTACTTCCCTTGGAGAGCTCCCCAAGCTGTTCTGCCATCACTAGCTCCCTCCTTTGCCTTGATGTGTGGCAGGTGGGCACTCCAGGTGGCACGGTGAGTCACAGCTAATTTAACTACCCACCTGCTGGTGGACATCTGGGTTATTCCCAATAAAACTGTTTGGAACATTTGTGTACATTCTTTTTTAGAACATAGTTTCATTTTATTGGAATAAATACCTATGACTGTAACTACTGATACATGCTAAATACATGTGGTTTTTCTTCTTTCTTTCTTTCTTTGGTATTGGGTATCAAACTCAAGTCCTTGTGCTTGCAAGGCAGGTGGCAGAACCACTGAGCTAAATCCCCGGCCTGCTAAATATATGTTTAGTTTTTAAGAAACTAGTAAACTATTTGCCAGAGTAGTCTAACATTTTACATTCCCACTAGCAAAGTGAGACAGCCAGGCTGTCTGCATCTTTGTCAGCACTAGCTATTGTCCCCGTTTTCTTTTTTGGCTGTTGTCACACATATCTAACAATGCTGAAAACCTCCTGCATTTATCTTCTGTTGTAACAGCCACTTCTGTGAAATTCTCTCCTAGTCCTTTGTTCATTTTATAACTGGATGGTATGTTTTTTATTTATTTGTTTGTAGCTGTGTTGGAGACTGAACCTAGAGCTACACACTGAGTTACATCCCCAGCCTCTTTTTATTTTTTATTTGGAGACAGGGTCTTGATAAGTTGTCCAGGCTGGGTTTGAACTCCACTCTTGCCTCAGTCTTCCAGAGTGCTGGAATTACAGATGTGTGCCAACACACCCAGCTAAATTTTCATTTTTATGAAGTCCAATTTATTTTTTTTTCTTTTTGGATTGAGCTTTTGGTGTTGTATCTAAGAAGTCTTTACCATGCTCTAGGACTCAAAGATTTTTGTTCAGCTGAACATTATATAGATTTACATTCTACATTTTAATTTCTAGTCCATTTTGAGTTAGTTTTGTATGAAGTGTGGGGTTCCGATCAAGGCTTACTTCTTGTCCTTTGGACATACAATGGCTCCCATACCCCAAGTTGAGAGCCATCTTTTCTGAGTTTTGTTTCCAACAGGCACCTCCTCCCTCTCCACAGCTCCCCATCTGTCCCACTTGTCCACTGACTGCCCACCAGCACCAGCTCTGCTGGGTGCTCTCCTCAGCACCCCTGGCAGCCCACTTTCACCTCCCAAACCCCACAGAACCCACCACCAACACAGGAAGCCACTGGGCAGAATAGGCCAGTAATCCAGGCCCAGGACGGTGTCCGCAGAAGGCTAGCCTGGGAGTGGCATCAAGAGCCGAACGCTGGACAAAACACCTGCGCCCTGCCTTCCTGAGTGTGGAAATGGTTTACCAGCAGGCTGAGCTCATCCCACATACAGGCAGGCCTCACCTTTGGGGACAGGATCTGGAGAGGGTGAAGCTAGGGTTCAAACTGAGTTGACCCGAAGGAAAGAAAGGTAGAGGCATTTCCTAACTTGGAAGAGTGAGTCCCTGTGCCCTCCCTGCCTTGGGAGACCGAGACACACCTGCTTCATTCCCGAGGAGCTATGGGGCTGAGGAGCGATGGGGGGGGGGCCAGGAATGGGAATATGAAAGAGCTGCGCCCCTGGCCAAGCCCCTGCCCCCCACCCCCGCCCCCAGGTCCTAGTGACTTCCGGAGACTGACACCACACCTGCTGCCCATGCCTGCCCGGTCCACACCTGCGCGGGGGTACTCCCATCGTCCGCGTACACGCGGGGGTCTGCCCCGAGCTTCGGAAGCACCTCCACGGCTTCCAGGTGGCCCCCAAAGGCTGCCCGGTACAGCGGCGTCCGACCAAAGGCGCCCTGAGGGAATGGAGTCTTGAGCGAGACCCCAGGACCCAGGAAGCAGGCGGCCCGCGCCCCTCGCGTGTCACCGGCTCGCTGGGCCCACCTTGCTATTGGGGCTGGCGCCAAG